AAAATCCCACCAGAACCCCCCAAAATCCCCTTCAGTGCCCGCAGCACCCGCCCTGTGGGCACGGGGGGGTCAGGGGGGTACAGACCCCCAAAATCCCACCAGAACCCCCCAAATCCCCCCATCAACCCCTTCAATGCCCACAGCACCCGCCCTGCAGGCACAGGGGTCAGAGAACCCCCAAAATCCCTGTGGGACCCCCCCAAAATCTCCCCACTAACCCCTTCAATGCCCACAGCACCCGCCCTGCGGGCACGGGGGTCAGGGACCCCCAAAATCCCACCAGGACCCCCCAAAATCCCCTTCAGTGCCCGCAGCACCCACCCTGCAGGCACGGGGGTCAGAGAGCCCCCAAAATCCCTGTGGGACCCCCCAAAATCTCCCCACTAACCCCTTCAGTGCCCGCAGCACCCGCCCTGGGGGCACGGGGGGTCAGGGACCCCCAAAATCCCACCAGGACCCCCCAAAATCCCCTTCAATGCCCGCAGCACCCACCCTGCAGGCACGGGAGGGTCAGGGGGACACCAACCCCCAGGACCCCCCAAAATCCCCCTGGGATTCCCCAAAATCCCCCTCAAATCCTGCCAGGACTCCCAGATCCCCCCGGGACCCCCCAAAATTCCCCCAGGGACCCCCAAACCCCCCCTCACCTTTGCGCAGATCAATCACGGCCACGTCCCCCCGGGCGCTGCCCACGACCACCGAGCTGGGGAGGGGGGAAATGGGGCTGGGGGGGCGGCAGGACCCGCCCAGGCACCCCAAATTCATCCCCAGGCACCCCAAATTCACCTTGGGTACCCAAATCCCCCTCCCCAGGTCACTTTGTGAACCCCAAAATCCCCCCAAAACCCCACCAAGACACCCTAAATCCCCCCCAAGGCCCCTCAAAGCCACCCTAAATCCTCTCAGGACCCTCAAAAATTCCCCCACAAACCCCCCAAAGTTTCCCCAACTTCCCCAGGACCCCCCAGACCTCCCCAGGACACCCCCCTTGACCCCCTAAATCTCCCCCAGGACCCCCCAAAATGCTCTCAGGTCTCCCCAAAATCCCCCAAAAGCCCCCCAGAACCCCCCCAGGCCCCCCAGCACTGACGTGTCCCCGGCGGGCAGTGCCAGCGCCGTCAGCGGCGCCTCCCCGAAGGTGGCATCGAGCACCGGGCGGCGCTGGGGCGAGGAGGGGTCGTAGAGACGCACCTGGCACAGGTGAGGGGGGCAGCGGGTGAGCCCAGGACCCTCACCTGGCCCTGCCCCCCCAAATGACCCCAGGTGACCCCCCAGATGACCCCAGGTGCCCCCCAGGTGCCCCCCAGGTGCCCTCACCTGGCTGTGCCCCCCCAAATGACCCCAGGTGCCCCCCAGGTCCCTCACCTGGCCGTGCCCCCCAAATGACCCCAGGTGCCCCCCAGGTGCCCTCACCTGGCCCTGCCCCCCCAAATGACCCCAGGTGCCCCCCAGGTGCCCCCCAGGTCCCTCACCTGGCCGTGCCCCCCCAAATGACCCCAGGTGCCCCCCCAGGTGCCCTCACCTGGCCGTGCCCCCCCAAATGACCCCAGGTGCCCCCCCAGGTGTCCCCCCCTGGCCCTGCCCCCCCAAATGACCCCAGGTGCCCCCCAGGTGCCCCCCAGGTGCCCCCCCAGGTCCCTCACCTGGCCCTGTCCCCCCAAATGACCCCAGGTGCCCCCCAGGTGCCCCCCCAGGTGCCCTCACCTGGCTGTGCCCCCCCAAAATGACCCCCCAGGTGCCCTCACCTGGCCGTGCCCCCCAAATGACCCCAGGAATGACCCCAGGTGCCCCCCCAGGTGCCCTCACCTGGCCCTGCCCCCCCAAATGACCCCAGGTGCCCCCCCAGGTGCCCCCCCAGGTGCCCCCCCAGGTGCCCTCACCTGGCCCTGCCCCCCCCAAATGACCCCAGGTGCCTCCCCAAATGACCCCAGGTGCCCCCCCAGGTCCCTCACCTGGCCGTGCCCCCCCAAAATGACCCCAGGTGCCCCCCCAAATGACCCCAGGTGCCCCCCAGGTGCCCCCCCAGGTGCCCCCCAGGTGCCCTCATCTGGCTGTGCCCCCCCAAATGACCCCAGGTGCCCCCCAGGTGCCCCCCAGGTCCCTCACCTGGCCCTGCCCCCCCAAAATGACCCCAGGTGCCCCCCCAAATGACCCCAGGTGCCCCCAGGTCCCTCACCTGGCCGTGCCCCCCCAAATGACCCCAGGTGCCCCCCAGGTGCCCCCCCAGGTGCCCTCACCTGGCTGTGCCCCCCCAGAATGGCCCCAGGTGCCCCCCAGGTGCCCTCACCTGGCCCTGCCCCCCCAAATGACCCCAGGTGCCCCCCCAGGTGCCCTCACCTGGCCCTGCCCCCCCAAATGGCCCCAGGTGCCCCCCAGGTCCCTCACCTGGCCCTGCCCCCCCAAAATGACCCCAGGTGCCCCCCCAAATGACCCCAGGTGCCCCCCCTGACTGTGGCCCCCCAAATGACCCCAGGTGCCCCCCCAGGTGCCCCCCCAAATGACCCCAGGTGCCCCCCAGGTGCCCCCCCCGGTGCCCTCACCTGGCCCTGCCCCCCCAAAATGACCCCAGGTGCCCCCCAGGTGCCCTCACCTGGCCGTGCCCCCCCAAATGACCCCAGGTGCCCCCCCAGGTGCCCCCCCAGGACCCTCACCTGGCCGTGCCCCCCCAAATGACCCCAGGTGCCCCCCCAGGTGCCCCCCAAATGACCCCAGGTGCCCCCCAAATGACCCCAGGTGCCCCCCCAAATGACCCCAGGTGCCCCCCAGGTGCCCCCCAGGTGCCCCCCAGGTGCCCCCCAGGTCCCTCACCTGGCCGTGCCCCGTGCAGGTGACGATCCGTTGGGACCCGGGCAGGAACTGCAGGTCCCGGTCCCAGACGGGGACGCGCAGATCCAGCCAATCGTTCCTCACCTGGTGTGGGACAATCCGGACATTTGGGGACATTTGGGGACATTTAGGGACAGTTAGAGCACGTTTGGGGACAATTTGGGGCAGTTTCAAGGTGGTTTTGGAGTTGGTTTTGGGGTTGGGTTTGAGGTTGTTTTTGGGGCGGTTCTGGGGTGGTTTTGGGGTATTTTTTGGGGGTATTTTTGGAAGTGTTTTTGGGCTGTTTAGGGGGTGTTTTTGGGGAGGTTGTGGGGTATTTTTGGAGTTGTTTTTTGAGTGTTTTTGGGGTTGTTTTTGTAGTTATTTTTGGGGTTGTTTTCAGGGTAGTTCTGGGATTGTTTTTGGGGTTGTTTTTGGGATATTTTTTGGGTTGTTTTCAGAGTGGTTCTGGGATTGTTTTTGGGGTATTTTTGGGGATGTTTTTGGGGTATTTTCAGGGTTACTTTCAGGATGGTTCTGGGATTGTTTTTGGGATATTTTCAGGGTTGTTTTCAGGGTGGTTATGGGATTATTTTTGGGGTATTTTTGGGGATGTTTTTGGGGTATTTTCGGGGTTGTTTTCAGGGTGGTTCTGGGATTGTTTTTGGGGTATTTTTAGGGATATTTTTTGGGTATTTTCGGGGTTGTTTTCAGAGTGGTTCTGGGATTGTTTTTGGGGTATTTTTGGGGATGTTTTTGGGATATTTTCTGGGTTGTTTTCAGAGTGGTTCTGGGATTGTTTTTGGGGTATTTTTGGGGATGTTTTTGGGGTATTTTTTGAATTGTTTTCAGAGTGGTTCTGGGATTGTTTTTGGGGTATTTTTGGGGATGTTTTTGGGGTATTTTCTGGGTTGTTTTCAGGGTGGTTCTGGGATTGTTTTTGGGGTATTTTTGGGGATATTTTTGGGGTATTTTCTGGGTTGTTTTCAGGGTGGTTCTGGGATTGTTTTTGGGGTATTTTTGGGGATGTTTTTGGGGTATTTTCGGGGTTGTTTTCAGGGTGGTTATGGGATTGTTTTTGGGGTATTTTTGGGGATGTTTTTGGGATATTTTTTGAATTGTTTTCAGAGTGGTTCTGGGATTGTTTTTGGGGTATTTTTGGGGATGTTTTTGGGGTATTTTCGGGGTTGTTTTCAGGGTGGTTCTGGGATTGTCTTTGGGGTATTTTCGGGGTTGTTTTCAGGGTAGTTCTGGGATTGTTTTGGGGGTATTTTTGGGGATGTTTTTGGGGTATTTTTTGGGTTGTTTTCAGAGTGGTTCTGGGATTGTTTTTGGGGTATTTTTGGGGATGTTTTTGGGGTATTTTCGGGGTTGTTTTAGGGCTGTTTTTGGGGGTGTTTTTGGGGAGGTTGTGGGGTATTTTTGGAGTTGTTTTTTGAGTGTTTTTGGGGTTGTTTTTGTAGTTATTTTCGGGGTTGTTTTCAGGGTAGTTCTGGGATTGTTTCTGGGGTTGTTTTGGGGATATTTTTTGGGTTGTTTTCAGAGTGGTTCTGGGATTGTTTTTGGGGTATTTTTGGGGATGTTTTTGGGATATTTTCAGGGTTGTTTTCAGGGTGGTTATGGGATTATTTTTGGAGTATTTTTGGGGGTGTTTTAGGGTTGTTTTTGGGGCTGACTCACGTTCTTGGAGCGGAACAGGGGCTCCTGGGGCTGCTGCAGGTCCCACACTTTGAGCCCGTTCTCCTTCCCCCCCGTGGCCACCACGTGCGGCCGTGCCGGGTCCTGGCGCATCCGGCACAGCCCCGGCCCCGCCTGCAGCTCCTGCAGGGGCTGGGGGGCACCGGGGTCACCCCAAAATCCCCACACCCCAAAACCACCCCAAATCCTGCTCAACTCCCCCCAAAAACCCCAAAAAAACACCCCAAATTGCCCCAAAATCCCCAATTCTGGCACAGCCCCAGCCCCACCTGCAGCTCCTGCAGGGGCTGGGGGGCACCGGGGTCACCCCAAAATCCCCACATCCCAAAACCACCCCAAATCCTGCTCAACTCCCCCCAAAAACCCCAAAAAAACACCCCAAATTGCCCCAAAATCCCCAATTCTGGCACAGCCCCAGCCCCGCCTGCAGCTCCTGCCAGGGCTGGGGGCCACCAGGGTCACCCCAAAATCCCCACACCCCAAAACATCCCCAAACCCTCCTAAAAACCCAAAAACCCCCAACAAAACAACCCCAAACCCTCCTAAAAACCCCAAAACCCCCAACAAAACCACTCCAAACCCTCCTAAAAACAAAAAAAAACACCCCAAACCCCCTTAAAAACAAACAAAAAAAAAAAACCCAAATAAAACACCCCAAATCCTCCTAAAACCCAAAAAAAACCCTCAAAAAACACCCCAAACCTTCTTAAAAACCCCAAAAACCCCACCCCAAATTGCCCCAAAATCCCCAGCTCTGGCCCAGCCCCGCCTGCAGCTCCTGCAGGGGCTGGGAACGGGGAGGGGTCACCCGAAAACCCTCCAGGGACCCCCAAACCCTCCTCAAACCACCCCAAAACCCCCTAAAACTCCAATTTTTGGTATATCCGACCCCATCCTCAGGTCCCAAAAGGGGTTGGGATTGGGGAGGGGTCTTGGGGTGACCCCAAAATCCCCCCCAGACCCCCCCACTCACCTCCTCAGCCTCCTGCTCCCCCCAGACCCGGACCAGCCCCGACTCCACCGCGGTGACCACGGAGCTGGGGGGATTTTGGGGGGCTCAGGGGGGGTTGGGGGGTCTCTGGGACTCCCCCCGAGCATCCCCCACCCCCCAAAAGCCCTTCAGGGAATCCCTGGACACCATCAAACCCCTTTGGAACCCCCCCCAGACCCCACCTCGGTTATCCAGGACCCCCCTGGGACCCCCAAATCCCCCCTAAAAACCCCCAGCATACCCTCAAAACCCCCCGAGACCCCCTCAGACCCTTCCCAAACCCCCCCAAGACCCCCCTCAGGACGCCCCCAGGCCCCCCGGTACCTGCCGA